GTTTCATATAGTAAGGGCTTAGTGATGATGAACTCCTTACCTTTACCTTGTCTGGGAAGCACTTTACCTGCCCTTCCATTCTAAATGACAGCTTTGCTGGATAGAGTAATGTTGGATGTAAGTCCTTGCCTTTCATGACTTCAAATACTTCTTTCAAGCCCCTTCTTGCCTATGAGATTTCTTTTGAGAAATCATCTGATACTTCATGCGCACTCCTTTGTAGGTAACTCTCTCCTTTTCTCTTGCTGCCTTTAAGAACTTCCCCTTATCTTTAATCTTGGGTAACTTAATTATGATGTGTCTTGGTGCGTTTCTTCTTGGAACCAATTTCTTTGGGACTCTCTGAGCTTCCTGGACTTTCAGGAAGACTATTTCCTTTGCCCAACTGGGGAAGTTGTTCTTCATTATTTCTTCAAATAAGTTCTCAATTTCTTGCTCTTCCTCTTCTCCTTCTGGCACCCTATGATTCACATGTTGGAACATGTAAAGTTGTCCAGAGGATCCTCAGCCTCTCCTCATTTTCTTGAATTCTCGTTTCATCATTCTGTTTCAGTTGAATATTTATCTCTTCCTTCTGCTCCAAATTGTTGATTTGAGTCCCAGTTACCTTCCTTTCACTGTTGGCTCCCTGTATATTTTCCTTTATTGCACTTTGTATAGCCTTCATTTCTTCCTTCATTTTGTGACCAAACTCAATCATCCTGTCAGCATGCTGATTACTAGTGTTTTAAACTGTGCATCTGATAGGTGGTCTATCTCCTCATCGCTTAGTTCTTTCTCTGGAGGTTTGATCTGTTCTTTCATTTGGGCCGTATTTCTTTGTCTCCATGCGCCTGTTACACTGTAAGCGGCAGAGCCTTAGGTATCCTCCAGGGCAGGGCAACCTCTTCGCCGCCTTGTGCTGCTGTCCATGCGGGAGGGGTCAGAGAGGAAACGGTGATTCTTGCTCGGCTCTTGTCTGGCTTTGAGTCATTTCCCTCTGCTGCCCACAAGCAGGTTTTGCCCTTTCAGGTGGTGATTCCTAGGAGGATAATTTTCTGTATGTTCTAGGACCACGTGGGCTTCTCCTACGAACACTCCTGTGAGCCTGGGAATTTCTCCCACTGCCACAAACCCCACGGATATGTCCAGCCAGAGGTTTTGAGTTTTTTGTTTCCTATCCTAAAACCCTGAGTTTTGCTGTCTGTCTCATTCCCCAGTTGTTCTTCCTGGCTTTTCCATGGACCATGGGAGAACACCTGGTCAGCCAGACCCTGCCGCTCCCGCATACTCCACAGCTTTGCCACGTGTCCTCCCTGCCCCAGCTACCCTTTTCTGCCCCTCCTGTCAGTCTGGATGAAAGTTTCTTTAATTCATTGGTTGTCAGACTTCCATGCAGTTGGACTTTCTGGCAGTTCTGGTTGCTTTTTGTTTTTAAATTGCTTCTTTATCCTTCTTTTGGTTGCACAAAGAAATAAAACATTTCTACTGATGCTTCTATTGTAGCTGGAACTCTAAAGTGCTTCTACAGTTTTTTTGTTTCGCTTCTTCTATAATGACAAAAAAAAAATTTCCCTTTCAGGACTTTTTTCATCCAGGAAAGCAAAAAAAAAAAAAAAAGGTGCTCATGGCAAGACCCAGTGAGAAGGGAGGGTGAAACATGGGGGTCAGGCCACTTTTCATCAAAAGCTGCTGGCCATTCAGTGCAGCGTGGACCGGAGCACTCATAGATCACCCATTATGAAACAGGTAAACATGATGGAGTCCTCACAAAAAATCACTGAAGCCGAATGCAGACCCTCACAACAAGGCAAGTGTGTACACTGACAGAGATGGGTTCCTAGAACACTCACTCAGTGGGGAAAGCCTGTCCTACAAGGGTCCTGCCATCCATATATTTCCTGGTTTATTTGGGTCCCCTCACCTCATATTATAGAATTGTACATAGGAAACGTATATAATTTTATTGACCAACTTAACCCCAAAATTCAATTCATGAAAAAACTACGTAAAAAAGAAGGGAAAAACAGTCACTAGGTCATGTTTTCACAGGAACCACTTTTCAAAATTCTTCAACTCCTCAGGCAAGTTAGTTTCATGTAAGTGTGAGTTTAAAGTATTAAAACTGTACTTTTTCTGTCATTTTAGGGTTACAGAAATTTAAGAAAAAGCCACAGAGATTTCCAATGCACCTCCTGCCCCCACACACCCACAGCCTCCTCTATTATGAACTTTCCCCACAACAATGGTGTATTTCGCACAACTCATACACCTACATTGATCACCCAAACCTCACAGTGAACGGGAGGGTTTACTCTTTGTGTTGTACATTCTACAGGTTTACACAAATGTATAATGGCATGTATCCATCACGAGAGTATCATCGAGATGAACTTCAGCGACCTACAAATTCTCTGTGCTCTTCTTCGTCTTCCCTCCTGCTCCCCTCAAACCCAGACAACAACTGGTCTTTTTACTGTCTCCATACTTGTGCCTTTTCCAGAATGACATATGGTTGGAATCATACAATATGCAGCTTTTTCAGATTGGCCTCTTTATTCAGTAATAAACATTTAAGTTTTCCTTATCTTCTCATGGCTTGATAGTTCATTTCTTCAGTACTAAATATTAATACACTTTTGGATGGACCACTATTTATCCATTCATCTAATGGTGGACATTTTGGAGGTTTCCATTTTATGACAACTTAGAATAAAGCTGCTAGAAACAACTATGGGCAAGTTTCTGTATGGAAATAACTTTTTAACTCCTTTGGGTTAAATCTCAGGAACACTGTGACTGGATTATATAGTAACAGTATGTGTAGTTTTGTAAGAAACTGGCAAACCACTTCATTAAAATATCCCTTACACAGTATATATATTTTATATATATATAAAAAATATAAATATATACTTTCATTTCGTAACAGTTGACCAAGAAAGTTTACTGCTCCCCGTGGCTGCACATCAACGCCCCAGAGTTGAAAGCACGAGCAGGCACAACAGGTGGTCCTGACAACGGCTTAGCCCACGCACCCCCTGCTGTGACCATGGACCTGAGCCCGCATGTGCTTCTCGCCTCTGTCCGGCTGCCCCATGTATCTCCAAGGCTCACACACATGTTGTGTCCATCTATGGGACTTCCCTTATACAACACAAGTACAGAGATAAAACTATGGAGAATGTCAAGAAAGGGATAACAGAATATTAAACCAAGGACAGGATTCCTTCTGCAACTGCACGGGTCACATGCCCAGGAAGCTGGATCTGCTCCCAGCTTCAGTGGATTCTCTCCATTTGCCTTCATCTTAATTTTTTGGGTCCTAGTCCTTCTATCAGTGTCCTATATTATAATAAAGACAGTGCAGCTTAGAATTCTACTGTTCCACGTGCAAGTTTCAACTTTACGTTTGGTGGAAGAAGTCTTACTCTCTGGCTACAACATATAAGGGTGTTTTGAGGGGGAGTCTTGGGAGCTCCCCGCATGCTTTCGCAAACCTGAATACGTTACAATAGCATGAGTCACAAATTCACTCAGGAGGCAAGGGAGAGTGATGGTATTGAAGAGAACAGAATGAAGATTTTCAGGAGCTCTTTCATACAAGGTGCTATCTAGGTGGGCCCTACATGTAATCCTCACACACTACTGGTGGGAATGTAAATTGTTGCAGCCTCTATGGAAAACATTGTGGAGGTTCCTCAAAAAGTTAGACTAGCACTACCACATGATCCCGCAATCCATCATCTGGGTATGTATCTAAAAATCTTGAAAACACTGATTCTTACAGATGTATGTACACCTAAGCTCAATTCAGCAATATTCAACAATAGCCCAGACATGGGAAAAACCTCAGTTTCTTCAATGAGTGGTTAGATAAATATTTTTGTTACATATATGCATTGGAATACTATTCCATAAGAGAGGAGAAAATACTGTCATTGGCAAAAATAAGGATGGATATCGAGAGTATCATGCTAAATGGAATGAGTCAGACAGAAATGGACAAAACTCACATGACTTCACTTGTATGGAGGACAAAAAATCGAAAGCAGCAAATGAACAAAAAATACGCATAGATAGACAACAATATGGCAGTGAACACAGAGAAATAGGCTTCAGAGGAGATTAGCCTCAATAAAATTAAACAAAATAACGGGGGTCAATTATATGGTCACCAAGGGAGACTAGACTTTTGGAGGTGGGCATACAATGCACTATATACAAGTGATGTAGTATGAAATTGTACACCTGAAACTGATATGATGTTATTAACCGATATCACCCCAATAAATTTAATTTTTAAAAATGACCTAAATGGATATTGTGTTACTGATGTGTATAAACATATCATGCAAATGTATGAACAACAATCATTTGAATTAGGTTATTTTAAAGACTGCTATACCAGGTAACTCAATTTATAAGCTCTCATGTCACCCCAACTTCACCAATTTAATCATAATGTTGACGTAAAGAAGTTCCTTAACCTCAACAACCCTCACTTTATCCATGCATAAAATGAGAGTACATATTTATAAGGTGCCATCAGTACTAAATAATATATGTAATAAGTTAAAGTGCCTTCTCCTCAATTAAATTATTTGTCTTCTCTTTGTTATATCCAGGAGTATAGAGCCTAATACAATCTATAAAAATTATTATACAACCTTTCTTCCTTTTTCCTTGATAGTACAACCATCTGCAGTTAACTGAAAAAAAGAGTCATCTCTTTCTACTTGTTGATCACCCTGTTTTTCTCCAAGCCTTTTCCAGCAGAATATTTGCAGGACATATATGTGTAATTTGCAAGGGGATATGTTTTCACACGAAATTAGATGTTAGCATCCTTATAATTTGTTTTCATTGTTTTATATTAAAGCTTCTTACATGTAAATTGGTTTTAAGGAAGAAATAATGCAAAATAATTTAAATTACAGTGCTAACGAGTCTTATTTTAGGACAAAAAGAGTTTGGAACATAAATTTGAAAACCCAGAGTAGTGCAGGGCTACTGTGGGGTCAACAGGCCTGTCGCATGGAAGGGGTGGAGCTGCAGGCCCAGCTGCAGTTTGGGTTCAGGCTGCACATCACCTGGGAGCGCTGTGCCTCCGCCGCACAGAAGTAAGTGGCTGAGTCTTCCAGCTGGGAGGTTGTGATGTGAAGGGTACTGTACAGGTCCTTAGAATGTATTGTGGAGCTCAGCCTTCCAACCTGTTTTGACTCTGAGGTCAAGTGAAATAGACTGCTGAGGCCACCACCAGGATTCTGTCGGAACCACTGCACTCGGTACACTGCGGTAGAAAAATTGCATCTCACGGTAGAGTTGCTTCCCTCCTGGAGGCTCAGGGCTGAAGGGCTCTGCTCCACCATCTGCCCTCTCACCCCTGCTTGGAAAGAGAAAAACACAAATGATACCACTGCGACAAACGAGGCAGTTTCCAGACTGGTAAAATAGCCCAAGAAACACCCAAGTGGGGCCATCTCGGAGCTCTGGGTCAGGTCTCCTCCTTCTCCCCCTGTCAGCTGTGGACACTCCCGTTCCGGGGCCCCATCTGGGACGGCCCCAACTCACAGCCAACCTGGGCCCACAGAAGCCACAGCAGGGCTGCCAGGTGTCTCTTCATGACGTTTTACCCAGATGTGGTGCCTCTGCCTTGCTCTAGAGGATGGAGAGTCGTAGGCCTCAGCAAAATGTGTTCCTTCGGTAATGTGCTCCACCGGACTCACCGAACACCAGTCACATCTGAGCTCTGTCACTCATCTGAAGGGCAACTCCACCCACAGTGGCCTGCGAAACAGCACAGTCATCTCTCCAAATTCTGGATAACAGTGCAGGAGGCTAAGGGGCAATACATACAATGTATGAAGATATACAGCTTTTTTTTCTTACCCTTAACGTATAAGATGTTTGTGGGATAATGTGTGAGAAATGGAAGATGATGAATCAGGAAGAGTCAGTGTCTCGGGTATAATGTGTGACCTAAAGAACCCTCGGTAGAGTAAACCGCTATTTCCCAAATTACATCTTTTGATAGAGATTTTGAGAATTCAGTTATGTAGGCATTATGATAAAAGAAAACTGATAGTATGTATTGTTTGTTGTGCCCAATAATCCATTTTTTAAATCTGTAGAGTTCTAGAAACCAAGACACACAGACACTATCTGTATAGAAAATGATTCCAACAAAATTAGCCTGATGAAAATTAGAATACTTTTGTAATGTCTACTCTGACCTCATTTCCACCTCTCCCATTCCCGTCCCCACCTAGGGCACCCTGCTGACCCACACGGCCAGTTCTGGTCCAACCACACTATGCTCGTCGAATTAAATATTGCTTCTCCCTTTGCTCCAGTTTTTCTTCTTTACCTTTTCTTCTGTTTTCTCTTTCTGTTTTTAATTTGTTCTTGTTCCTTCAACTTTCACAGACATATATGAAACAATAGGATATTTAGCATATTGGAATAATGCTGGCTCAGTGGGTTTGGTGAATTTTAGTCTTAATAATTAAAAAATTAAAAATAGGTTATTGAGGGGTTTTTTTGTTGAGCTTCCATGCTCTCGTGACCAGTAAATTCTCTCTCCTGTGACTCAGCACAGAGAATTATTCTCACAGTGCTTGGACAGCACATGGAGTCCAGCTCTGCAGTTTACATTAAGTGGCACAGCTGAAAAATGGAGCTGAGCTTCGCACAGACACTGTTAATCTTCTCCTCATCTTTGCTGTCTATAATTTATCCGGCTCACACGCTCACTGGTTTCCTTTCTTAAGGGCTTGCTCAACCCTCAGAACTATGATGAAGTTATTTTTTGTAAAGCTGCTTTGCCCCCTAGTGGGCCAAAACCAACGTTACAAAGGACTTTAGACCTGCTGACTCACCAGTCACACTGCCCCAGCCTCACTCACTCCTTGTTTCCTGATGGAGGAATGCAGATCCTTAGAAAGCAAAGTAACTCCCTACACTGAAAGGAGATAAAAAATGAACCAAATCCACCTGTATATGATTTTCTTGACCAATGTTAGCCCAATACATTTATTTTAAAAAAGAACCAAATGCTACTTTTCAAGTGTTAGTTCATGAAAATTATTTTTATAAAGATGTATTTATTTGTTTTTAGAGAGGAAAAGCGAAGGAGAAAGGGAGGGAAAGAAACGTTAATGCGCAGATGCCCCTACTGGGGACTTGGCCTGGAGCCCAGGCATGTGCCCAAGGCCGGAAATCAAACTGGTGACCCCTTGATACACAGGCCAGCGCTCCGTCCACTGAGCCACACCAGCCAGTGCTGACAATTAATATCTTAAAATAATTTCATAAATCACATCTTGTGCTTTTTTACCTGATTGCTTGGACTTAATTGTAATGCATCTGTAAAAGTTTATTGAACTTTTAGTGTAAATGAGGTCAATAACTAAAACTTAAGAACATATAAAAGATAATAACATCCAATGTACAGGTTCCTGGGGAAGACAGAAATACACATAACTACAACACAGTCAAAGACAATGACCCAAAGAGGATTGAAAACTCAGGGATAAGGTTCCAGAGAAAGAAAACGACTTATACCTGGGTGTTTGAACAAAGTCTTAGGAAGTACATTAGGAGCCATTTTCTTCTCTTCCACCTTATTGGGGCTAAAAATAAAGAATATGGTTAAACCTTTATAATGACTTATGACTATTAATTTTAGCAAGAGGAAGAATTCATGAATATATGAATTATTAAAAGTAATAACACATTATATATAGACTAAAACCCTTTTGAATACCAACCTTAATTCCCACTCTTCCATCACTTATCACTCTAATTCTTTCTTCCTCCTGACCAATTTGGAGTTGATACTTTTTGGTTTTAGTATTAAAAATTTAAAAATACAGAAAATATATAGTATTATCTTTATGTTTTATTATAATACAAACAGACATATTGTGCATACATTGCTGTGCCTTGTTTTGTATTCTCAGTAATAAATTTCAGCCTTATGTTAACACACAGATCTCCTACTGCTGCGGTATATCCCATATTGCAGATATGCTATTGTGAAAATAGCCTTTCTCCAAAGGACAAACTTAAAATGTTGATTTTTCCCTTGAAACACAATACTACAAATCTTTCAGAGCATTCACCCTTATTCCCATGAGCACATGATTCTCCTGGAGCAAAGACTAGGACGAAGTGGAGGAGCGAGCCCTGAGGATAGTGAGAGTCACTCCAGGCAGAGAGAGGGAAGATCGGGGACAAAGGCTCTGAGGGAGAAAGGAGCAAAGCCGTGTTCTGATTATTGTGTTGGATGGTTCTCTATTTTATGCTTCTAATGTGCTTTGGGACTATAGGAGCTGATTTGATACACTCTCTGAAATTACAGCTGGTGTGTCATTTGCTCAATCAGCCTTAAGGTCATTCTAAAGATAGTAACTCTGCAAGAGAAAAAGTAATCCAAAGGAAAGATATAGGAAGAGGAAATGTTATAGAATAATACACACAGAGAAACAATTTAAAGATAAAAGTCTAAGAAGAGAAAATGCTTTACTTTTTTAAAATCAGGAGACAGAAAAATGATTTTCCCCTTTCTCCAAGAGAACACCAAGTCAGTGAGCAAAGTCAACTCCTGCAAGGTGAGGTCTAGGAAAAAACACTACAGACAGGGTTTCCAAAACTTAATATTCAGATAGAAAATGGGTATGAAAGGAAAGCTGGCAGAGACAAAACAGTGAAGAGAAATAAAGATTTGTAGGAAAGGATGATATAAAAATTAAGAAAATTCTGTACGTTTATATGGCAAAGAATAAAGAAGCCAAGTGTCCATACCAGCTATTACATTTTTATCGGTGGTCCCGCAACACTCATTGATTGACAACTCGGAATCTTTTAAGAACTCTCTATAAAAGCATACTTCTAAACTTTCTCAAAATATGTCAGAGAAGATGAAAAACCCTCATGATAGATACTATGGGCAATATTATTATGCAAACTCTTCAGTAAAAAGTTGAACCCAGGCAGGTTTCAGGGTTCTCACTTATATATCTCATTTTATTACTGCGAGGGCCAATTTTAATATCTTATTATATAAAATATAACATGAAAAAAGTTTGGAGGCATGCAATATCTTAAACATTTTAATACTTTATCTATTTTTATTTCCATGTTCTAGTGCATTATTTCCTAAATGAAAACCTTCCTTTGTATCCATTGTATTCAAAATCCTTGTATCTATAGAAGTCTAAATTCCCTAACAACTCTATAAATGTGCTCAAAAGATTGGAAATTTGTATTAAGTGTACTGCATATTTATGTTCAATAACAAAATCCACCAGAGGGGATCACACAGTCATAGAAACTCAGCAGCCTGAGTTTGTGCTCAGCTCCCCCTGCAGTTTCTGTCACTGTGTCATTCAGAGCACAGAAGTATGTTGCCGAATCTGACTCTTGGACTGAGGCTTTCTCCAAGTGGAAGGAATTTGGTTTTTTGCGATATGTGGCTTCAAAACCTTTGTTGCTTCCTTTTTCATCGGCCCTCGTGGCTCTCAGGAGGAGCTGTAGGCCTTCTCCAGGATACTGAACATACCAGAAGAGAGTGGGATAACCTGGGGCTTCATAGGAGCAGTTCAGAGTCAGGGAATCCCCTTTAAGCAGGATCACTTGGCCTTCCGTCTGGGTCACTGAGTCTCCACGAGTTTGTCCTGGGGAAAATTAAAAGAAAAGTCTGTCACCTTGGTCATAAAGCTCTTAAATGAAATCAAAGTTAAAGAAGTTGCTCATAGAAGAAAGAATCCATTCTTAAGAGACATGTTACTTACCAAGCACTAAGAGTACCACAGTCACTAAGCCTGGGGCAGAGTTCATCTCCGCAGTGTTGCCTGAATAACGTTCTTGACACTTCACATGGGGGAATGTTGGACTCACAGTGAAATGCTAAGTCAAAGCCTACATTTCACCAGGAAATGTGTTGATCTTAGGAAGCATCACCCCCTAGTGGACAGGGACTGACATGGGATGAATGTGTTTTAGGTACCTCTCCAAATAGCGGTATGTTCTCATCTCTAACTTTATTTATGAAGCACATTCTGTCTTCAGGTGATGCTAAAAATCTGAGCAACTGTCCTCAGCTGTCAGGGGGTTTTTTTCTCCAGGACAATACCTGACATTGAAGTACTTTAACATAGCAGGCAGGGTATTTCTGTAGTCAGAAGACATCGATTTTCTTGAGCATTTTTAATATAGTACATTACCTTCTCATGTGCCCACTATGTTCCTGCCTATAATCCACGGAATGTAAGAAAATGGATGCGGTTGAAATCAGAGGAAGTAACACAAAGTCTAGTTGTGATTAATTATTAACTTTTCATCACAGTACCCCAACAAGAACAGTGACTGACATTTCTTACATGTCTAGTAAATATTTGTAACAATAAACAGAAATAAACAGTTTTTCATTGAAGATTCACTACTACATGACATACAGTATCTTCTCAGTCCTCATATATTGTCCATTGTAAAAAATGCTATCTTTTTAATAAAATTTTTCAGGAGAAAAATCATAAGTGAAGTTACTACTCAATAAAGAGAGATCTTAGATCAATATCTTAATCTTCCACTATTTTGTTCCTTCCAAGATAAGATAGCTAACCAAAGTGAGTCAAGCAAGGAACACTAATTTTATAGCCTTAATGCAGGTTCAGTGTCAAAAATGTTTTCTACTACCAGCTATCTGCCATCTTCTGTGGCCAAACTTTAATTGTTTAATTTCTCCCACAGGTAGAGAACCTCAGAGATGTGGAAATGCATGAAAACCAGGAGCACAAGTTGGAACTCTCTTCTTTTCACCTATCAAATTATTAATGATATATCTGCTATTATTCATACAATAGCTAATAAAGGAATCAATGTAAGTGATTTAAAGTTACACATTCTTGGATGTCAACATAAATTTCCAGAAACATATTTTCCATGATTGAGATCCACTGAAATGAAAATTTTAAAAGCTACCCAGGTAGTTTTGTTACAGTAAACCTGGTACCCACTTACAAGGTTTCATTTGGGATAACTGTCCTAGACCAAGGCGATCCTCTTGATCAAGGAGAAAGTTCTGAGGTCTGCATGGGGAAATGTCCCTATGGCAACACAAATTGTGAAAACTTGCCCTTTCTTTGAAGTGCCAGAGAAAAAGTAAGCACTTCTTTAGTCACTTTCTATGTCCATTCATTTCATAAAACAAAACCAAGAATTACTGAGAATTTGTCTCCATGTTCCCGCCACTACTTTCCTCTGCCGCACCCACCCCCGCCTCCCTTCCTCAATACCTCCCCCTTTGGCTTTCTTTATGGGTTCTTTATACATGTTCCTTGATTTGACCCTTCCTCTTCTTTTCCCTGTTACCCCATCTCTCCTTCCCTCTCGTCATTGTCAGTCCCCATTCAGGGCACATGCCTGCGTTTCAGGCAAGGTACCCAGTGGGAGCACATGTGAGCCAACCACACACTGATGCTTCTCTCCCTCTTCCTCCCTCCCTTTCGCTAAAAATAAATAAATAAAATTTTTTAAAAACTTTTAAAAAACACATTATTTAAAGCCAATGAGAGCCAAAAGAAGGAACATTTTGCATTTTGTGTGGCACAAGAAAACTTGTACAGCATGAAGTGAACGTCTTTTATCCCTGCTCTCCCATGCCTGCTTTCAGGCAACATCTTTGTCCCAAGTTACTTTGCATATTGCATGATTTTACATAAGTGGAATTATATGTCCTCTTCTGTCTGGCTTCTATCTCTCAGCATAATTATTTTGAAATTCTTCCATGGTCTCACAAGTATCAATAGTTCATTCTGTTTTGTTGCTGAGGAGTTTCCATCATAAAGAGATAAAATAATTAGTATATTTTTTTTTAAAATTTATTTACTTTTAAAATACATTTGTCTCTGCCTCCCCCCCCCCCACCTCTTTCCCTTGCCCCCTCCTACCTTCCCTCCCTCAGCTCTTCCCCTTTGGTTTTGTCCATGAGTCCTTGCTATATGTCCCTTGACTTTCCCCTTCCCTTCCCTTTCCCTGCCCCCCCGCTTCCCTCTTGTCTCTGTTGATTTCTTTTCCTTTCAGTGTTGCTGGTCATATTTTCCTTGCTTCTTTGCATTGTTGGTTAGGTTCCGCTTATAGGTGAGATCATATGGTATTTGTCTTTCGCCCCCTGGCTTATTTCGCTTAGCATGATGCTCTCCGGTTCCATCCATGCTGTCGCAAAGTTTAGTACTTCTTTTTTTCTTTCTGCTGCGTAGTATTCCATTGTGTATATGTACCACAATTTTCTGATCTAATCATCTACTAATGGGCATTTAGGTTGCTTCCAACACTTGGCTATTGTAAATTGTGCTGCTATGAACATTGGGGTGCATAGGTTCTTTTGTATTGGCGTTTTGGTGTTCTCAGGGTATAGTCCCAGCAGGGGAATCGCTGGATCAAAAGGCAGTTCCATTTTCAGCTTTCTGAGGAAATTCCACACTGCTTTCCATAGTGGCTGCCCCAGTCTGCATTCCCACCAACAGTGGACTAGGGTTCCCTTTTCTCCACAGCCTCGCCAGCACCTGTTGTTTGTGGATCTGTTTATGATGGCCATTCTGACCGGTGTGAGGTGGTACCTCATGGTGGTTTTGATCTGCATTTCTCTGATGGCTAGTGATGCTGAGCATCCTTTCAAATGCCTCTGGGCCCTCTGTATCTCCTCCTTAGAAAAGCATCTGCCCAGGTCCTTTGCCCATTTTTTGATTGGATCGTTTGTCTTCTTGGAGTAGAGTCGAGTGAGTTCTTTATATATCTTGGAGATCAAACCTCTATCCGATGTATCATTAGCAAATATATTTTCCCATACGGTTGGCTCCCTTTTCATTTTGCTGATGTTTTCTTTAGCCATGCAGAAGCTTCTTATTTTGATGATGTCCCACTTGTCTATTCTTTCCTTTATGTCCCTTGCTTTAGGAGACATATCAGTGAAAAAATTGCTGCGTGGGATATCTGAGAGTTTCCTGCCAACGTTCTCCTCGAGGACTTTGATGGTGTTGCGACTTATATTTAAGTCTTTTATCCATCTTGAGTTTATTTTTGTGTATGGTGTCAGCTGATGATCCAATTTCAATTTTTTGCATGTAGCCGTCCAGCTCTCCCAACACCATTTGTTGAAGAGGCTGTTATTGCTCCTTTTTATGCTTCTGCCCCCTTTGTCGAATATTAGATGTCCATAGAGACCTGGGCTTATTTCTGGGCTTTCTATTCTGTTCCACTGGTCTATGGGTCTGTTCTTGTGCCAGTACCAGATTGTTTTCAGTATGGTGGCTTTGTAGTAGAGTTTGATGTCCGGTATTGTGATCCCTCCTACTTTGTGTTTCTTTCTCAAAATTGCTGCGGCTATTCGGGGTCGTTTATGGTTCCATATAAATTTTTGAAATGTCTGTTCTATTTCTGTGAAATACGTCATTGGTATCTTAATAGGGATTGCGTTGAATCTATAAATTGCTTTGGGTAGTATGGACATTTTGAGGATATTAATTCTTCCAATCCATGAGCACGGTATATGCTTCCATTTATTTGTGTCTTCCTTAATTTCTTTTTTCAATGTTGTATACTTTTCTGCATACAGGTCTTTTGTGTCTTTGGTTAAATTTATCCCTAGGTACTTTATCTTTTTTCGTGCTATATCGAATGGTATATTTTTTCTGATTTCTTCTTCTTCTATTGCATTGCTGGTGTACAAAAACGCCTTTGATTTCTGAATGTTGACTTTGTATCCTGCTGTTTTGCCAAATTCACTTATTAGGTTGAGGAGTTTTTTGGTAGAGTCTACAGGGTTCTCTATGTACACTATCATGTCATCTGCAAACAATGATAGTTTTACTTCTTCCTTTCCTATTTGGATGCCTTTTATCTCTTTCTCTTGTCTGACCGCTGTGGCTAGGACTTCCAATACGATGTTGAAAAGAAGCGGTGAGAGCGGACATCCTTGTCATGTTCCCGATCTTAGTGGGAAAGCTTTCAGTTTTTGCCCGTTGAGTATGATATTAGCTGTAGGTTTTTCATATATGGCCTTTATTACGTTGAGGAATGCCCCATTTATTCCCATTTTGCTGAGTGTCTTGATCATAAATGGGTGCTGTACCTTGTCAAATGCTTTTTCTGCATCTATCGAGATGATCATGTGGTTTTTGTCTTTTCTTTGATTTATGTGGTGTATCACGTTTACTGATTTGCGTATATTGAACCATCCCTGCATCCCTGGGATGAATCCCACTTGATCGTGGTGCATAATCTTTTGAATGTATTGCTGGATGCGGTTTGCCAATATTTTGTTGAGGATTTTAGCATCTATGTTCATCAGCGAAATTGGCCTGTAGTTTTCTTTCTTTGTTGGGTCTTTATCTGGTTTTGGGATCAGGGTGATGCTGGCCTCATAGAAGGAGTCTGGCAGTCTTCCCTCCTCTTGGATTTTTTGGAATAGTCTGACAAGGACAGGGGTTTGCTCTTCCTTAAATGTTTTGTAAAATTCTCCTGGGAAACCGTCTGGCCCTGGGCTTTTGTGTGCTGGGAGTTTCTTGATGACTGCTTCAATTTCCCCAGCTGTTATCGGTCTGTTCAAGCTTTCTGTTTCTTCCTCCTTCAGTGTTGGAAGATTATACTTTTCTAAAAATTTGTCCATTTCATCAAGATTTTCAAATTTCTTGGCATGTAATTGTTCATAATACTTTCTGATGATCATTTGTATTTCTGTGGTATGAGCTGTTATTTCTCCTCTTTCATTTCTGATATTATTAATTTGGGTCCTCTCACTTTTTGTCTTGATGAGTCTGCTTAATGGCTTGTCTATTTTATTTATCTTCTCAAAGAACCAGCTTCTGGATTGGTTG